TGCGGCTTCTTGGGCGTCGTCCTCCTCTTTCGTCCGGTCTTATCTTTCGGATGTGTCGGACCGGTCGGTGGCCCATTCCGTGCTGAGTGCAGCGGATTGAGTTGGACCGTTGGGTCCCTCCCCTGAGGAGTGGGCCTTCGGTCTATTTTTCCGCCCTGGTGCAGGAGCTCTTGGGAGAGGCAATCCTACAGGTGCGGTACATATATGTGTGTTTGATCGGTCTGGTAGTCTACATCAGGAGCTCTTGGGAGAGGCGTCCTGTGACTACGGTTGACCTACGATTGGTGTTACGTGGGGGCGTCCTTGGTAGGAGTGGCCCGGTAACACCGCTTTGTTTCTTCTGCCCTGAGTCCTCTCACGGTGTGAGGGTCTTGCTCGGGCGGAGCTCCAATCACCCTTCGCTGGCCTGCTGGGAGTACATGTTCCTACGGCCTCCGCGTTGTGTCCCACTAGCGAAGTCCTAAGGGACGTAGCACCATGACGTAGAATTAATAGTTACCTAATGTAACTTAAGTTCTACGAATAGGTGCGTAGTCCCTTAGCTACGAGCCCATCAGGCCAGCCCGGCTTGGCAGAGTTCAAGAGGGGGTGCGGCCTTGTGCAGGGGCATTTATAGAGGAAGGTGGCTGGTGATTGGAGCAAATTATTTTGATCTCTCTGGCGTCTGTGACCTGGGGGTCACGTGATATCCCACTAGCGAAGTCCTAAGGGACTACGCACCTATTCGTAGAACTTAAGTTACATTAGGTAACTATTAATTACCATACGGAACCACTGATGGCACGCCCTTCATAACGCAGAGAGGCGTAAATATAGTGCCTGACGTATACACCAAAAAAGCTATTCTAGAATGATGGGAGGCAGTGGCGGCCGGCCAATAGAGGGCGCTAGGGCGCCGCCCCACCACTCACAACTTGCCATGTTACCTTGAATAAAACGTTAAAAAAAAAAATAACATTAAAATATTTCGAAATTTATGTGTGTTTTATTTCAGATGTGGAATAAATACTTTATAGTTTATGCTGAGTTGGATTGATTAAGCTCATCAGCGTTGTCTGTGTCGGACTGAGGACGTATTTCCGCCTCAGGGCGCAAAAGATTGCGCCCTGAGCCGTCTATGGACTCTCGTTAAAAGTTGGACATGCGCAGTAGCTCCTCTTCAATGCAAGAGATAAGACGATTTGGGGGCGCAGGAGAAGTGCGCCCTGAGGGGGCGGGATCGCCCGCGACCTGTACTGTCACTGTCTGTGACGTCCGTTTACAGTGATTGACAGGTCAAGCTGTGGGGAATTTGAGACGAACGTAAAGAGACGCAAAATGGAGAACGAGAAAAAGAATAATTCAGTTAGATCACTCAAAACAATACCGTTTGAGAGAAGATCATACCAGGAGAAGGTTGAGGTTAAAGAGCTTGGACCTGATCAGCCAAATATTACCATTAGTCAGCAGTCCAGCGACAGGGGGAGACGGTACACTCGTACTTTTTCCAGGACCTGGTTCAGCGCCAAATCTTGGCTAGCAGCATGTAGCGAGGCTAATGCTTTATTTTGCTTTCCATGCCTCTTGTTTCAAACATCAGGATCTGACCCAGCATGGATCAAGACAGGTATGACTGATCTGAAGCACTTTTTAGAAAAGGCAAAGAAGCATGAGCAGACTGGTATCCACATGCAAAATGCCCTCAAATTAGCTATGTTTGGGAAGATAAATATTTCATCCCAGCTGGATGAAAGCTACAGGCCTGATCATGTGACCTTGTTGATTCTCGTGTGAGGCTTCAGTCACAACAGTCAGTGTAAACTTACTTACTGCTGGTATATATCTAGTCATCATATTCATAGCCCCCCCAGTAGAAAATTCCACCAGCCGCCACTGATGGGAGGTAAGGTTAATATATGAATATACGGCGGAAAATCAAACCGGAAGATTGGAAGACATGGCCATGCTGAGTCCTCCCTCTGCTACATGCACCTGAGCTCAACAGCATCACTCCACAGCTGCATTTAAACAGAACTCTCAGTCCTTGTATCAAGCTGCTGTTCGTGCAGAGACTCACCTCCTCCCCATCACCACTTCTTCGGAAAAGTAGCGTCATGATGTCGACTCAGTTTCCTTTGTTATGGGTTTCGATTCGGTGGTTTGTGCGCTCAGAATCTCCATTACATTCTTTCATGAAAAAGTCATGCAGTATTTCTGTCGGTCTAATGGCCAAACCTTCATGAACATTTCATGTTCAAAAGCGTTCGCCAGGTCTAATTGTCTGATCCAGCAGCTACAGTATATTCATGAAATAAATATTTTTCTAATGCAATCTTTGTTGTCTTTGTTGAATGATGAATTATAGTAGCACCAAGCGCATTTAACCACATTTTGAGGCTAAAAACGAACTCCACCTATCCATTCATCCATTTTCTTCTGCTTCATCCATTGACAAAATGTGTGGCAGCCGTCTGCCAAGACTTCTCAATCCTGGGACTTCCCGGCAGTCTCCTACCGGGCCTGTCCCACTGGGAGGAAAATGTAACTCTTCTGCCCAAATGTTATGTATGGCTCATTCTGATCATTGAGCATCCACCATTAATACAAAAACAGCAACATACAGGATTGGAAGAAAAGCTGCAAAACCCTTGAGGCCTGGATGGTTGTTTAACATAAGAACAATTTCCCTAAACACAAAGACTTTTCTTACAATGAAACAGGTTAAAGCAAAACACAGTTATGTTAAGACTCAGTCGCCTCCAAACATGAACCGAAGGAAAAATCTGTGAAACTTCTGTTCACAGATTCTTGTTTTGCTTCACTTCTCTGTTGTCAGTTACTTTGTTGTGGTTTTTCAGAGAACAACGCAAGAAAAAAAAATCCTCATGTTTGTGGTCATGACGTGACATCTGTCCAAAGTCCAAGCTGCATAGACGCTTTCAGCTACTGTTGTAATTGTAATGTAAGTCCTTCCCTTATTTCATCTTTGACTTCAAACTTTTTAAACAATGGGAGTGAAAACAAATAAAGAACTAAGAGAGGAAGAGAGAACACATGTGACCAGTGTGCAAAGAATTCTGTTATTTCTGTACGATTAAAATGACCTTCAAAGGTCAAACTGGGAGATCCACCAACACATATTGTACATGTGGAAAGACCGCCCCCAAGAGGCGCTCTGCAGTAACTGCAGTCCACGCCTCAACAAACTGTTGATTCACCACAGTAATAACAATGAGGCTTCTTTGAAAATATAAAACATGTAGGAATCAAATAAAAAGCGTTCATTGTCAATAAATAGCAAAAAAAAATATAATTAATGGTGGATAATTTGTAACTTTAGTAATCTTAAAGTTAGTTGAATTCATAAGAATTGTGTATTTACTGTGAACTAATCTAAAATAATTTATGATCCAGTAACTTAATTCAAAATAGTATACAGTGAAGTATAAAAACTGACTTTATATCCTTCAGATGCAGGTGATAACATAAACATGTTATATCTAGTTCTATAGTGTTACTGTATACATCTGTATCTGATAAAGTGGTTTGGTTTACAGCAGGCTCCACTCTCAGGCCTCTTCAGTTTAGCCTGCTGAGTTTGCTGCTCCCTTTGTCAGATCTGAGCTGCTGCTATCAGCAAAAAAAAAAAACACACACACACACACACACAATTTGTACCATTGTGAGGACATTCATTCACACAATGCACTCTACGCCTCTGACACCACAGCATCATCACAACAGGAAAGTGTCAAACTACAGCTTTCTGCCCCAAACGAACCACACACACGACTGCATTGTGAGGACGCAACTATAAACATGTACAGAAACTAATAACAATAACTAACAATAACTACATCCTTGTGTTATTGTCACTTTATCTTCAATGAAAAAAGAGAAATGTTCGTGGCATAAATAGGATCACTAGGGAGTGTAAAAAGACAGGGCATGTTAAAAAGTGAAAAAGAGGAGGAAGTCTCTTTGTGCAAGGTATTTTATATCTAATCAAAATAAAAAGTGACAATAGCAGTGCGATTTTTCAGTTCAAGTGCAGGTCATAAAGTCATGTATTGTGAATCATTTGCCAAAATGTAATGAATATTGAATATATAGGTCTATTTAACTCTATGGGGAAAATGCACTATGTTTGCCAAGTCTATTCACTTATTCTTCAGTTCAGAATGAGAAAATAAGGCCATGGTTATTTCTCTAAATGTGCCTTCAATCAAACTCATTAGAATAAGCAATAACGGTTCATGAGTCATATAGTTTGTATAAATATAAAGCTAGTCACGTGCGAAGAGCGACAGACCGTCACGGCTGATGTTTCACTAGAGGCAGAAACAAGACTAACAAGAATACATTTTTTCCATTAAAAATACCCAACTAAAACGTTCTGTTATGCTTGCTTTTATGAAATCAGGTCAAACTCCTAATACAACTTCATAGAATCATCAGATATAAATATAGAATCATCAGATATAAATGCACATCAGTTACCTGGACCTGAAGGCCATAGAAAGCCTCACTTTTCATGGGATTGTCGAGTCCAGGGTTAAAACCCCAGAGTCTGTTTGTTCCACTGCCCCACACACCATGACCGCAGCTCAGGCTCTTTGTACAGTTCAATCTCAGCGTTAACCCTTCAGAGACATAACAATGGAGGCCAAAACAAACTGCTGACACAAGCCCAGGCCGTGGTGCGGGTGTGTCTGCCCCCGGCCTGAGGGTAACAGGGGTATATATACCCCCAGGATCAGCCCATACACAGACCGTTCCGTACGACCCTGCGACACTCCGACCACTATTTTAGGTAGGTCACAAAGTTAGACAATCATTTGAGAAAACTACACGGTTAAATGAAGCTTAGTGCAGCAAATTATCTATTTAGTGGCAATAGCAAACATTAGAAATATCACGTTGATTTTTGTTTGTTATTTCCTCATTCGTGGCTATATCATAAATATTAAGCTATTTTTTTACTTTGTTTTTTGCAGGCTGCTACTGATAAACAGGACAAGATGGCTCATACAAACACCATGCCCATGGGTCCCTGGAAGGTGAGCCGAGTCACAGCATCTGAAGCAGTTATTTTTTCCAGAGCTTCAAGTCATGGCTCCTTCTCTTTCAGATCACCGTCTACGATCAGAGACACTTCCAGGGCAGGCGCATGGAGTTCACCGCCTGCTGCCAGAACATCATGGAGTGTGGGTTTGAGAACATCCGCTCCCTGAAGGTCGAGTGTGGCGCGTACGTCTCTCTGCTATATCTTTTCCGTGTGTTGTTGTGTTCTGCGGCTCTAAATGCTTTGAATGTGTCCTCAGCTGGGTGGGCTACGAGCACTCCAGCTTCAACGGCCAGCAGTTCATCCTGGAGAAGGGAGACTACCCCTGTTTCGAGTCCTACATGGGCAGCAACTCCTACCGCATTGAGAGGATGATTTCTTTCAGGCCCATCTGCTGCGCTGTGAGTCCTGTCGCTCTCTTGTCTAAAAACAAAACGCCATTTTATCAACAGTTAAATCTAAAACCCTGTTGTGATATCTCAGAACCATAAGGACTCCCGCATGACCGTGTACGAGAACGAGAACATGTCTGGACGTCAGTTCGAGCTGTGCGACGACTACCCCTCTCTGCAGGGTATGGGCTGGATGCACAACGAGGTCGGCTCCATGCACGTCCAGTGTGGCGCGTAAGTCATCGTCTACGGCTGGGAATGGGCTAAAACGTGATGGTTTGATTTCTGGGCCATGATTCAATATTATTGCAAATCAGAATCAGAATTTTGTTCTATTGTCATTAACGGGAAGTCACAAACGAGGACATTGCTTTGGCTCTAGGTGCAAACAAGTTATTAAAGTAAATATAGAATAAGGCATGCATAAAATGAATAAACAATCTACAGAACCTTTCTTCAAATAGCTACTATATACAAGTGCACTAAGTATATACAATAGACATTTAGCATAGCGTATTGCGATTCATGTCCCTCATATTATTCAAAGGTAAAACAAAGATTGATAAAATTAAGACTTCTCAACTCAAATGTAACATTTATTATGGTCTGCACATTAACTGAAGTGCCAAAATATCGCCACACTAAACAATATTGATTTGTTTCCTCAGCACTATCATCTTCAAACAGCGCATTACTTAAATAGTCAGATTTTAAAATATCCCTGTTGTTCTGTACCTCCAGCTTCGTGTGCTACCAGTTCCCCGGTTACCGTGGATACCAGTACATCATGGAGTGCGATTGTCACAATGGCGAGTACAAGTGTTACCGCGATTACGGAACCCACTCCCAGACCCCCCAGATCCAGTCCATCAGGAGGATCCAGCACTGAGGGGAGACCCAGACCACCTCTCCCTCCTCACCTCCTCCTCCTCCCACCGCTCCGGCCAGTCCACGCTGCCTGAGCCTGAGCTGGACTGCAGGTCACACTGATGTCAGTCGTTCCCAGCTCTCTGGGTTTTATTTTTGAGAGAACCAAAAAGGCAAATGTAAGAAAGACAGAAAAGAGGACGATTTTTGAGATCCAGCTGTAACAGAGACTTCACCTGACTCCGAGCAGAGACTCTGTCTGCTGCAGCGGTGGCAATAAACGTCATTGTCTTTGACATCACCACTGACTTTGCTGTTACTGTGATCTCCATCACTGCCTTTGTACCAGTCGAAAAATAAAGAGAATGAGCAAACATCAATTTATACATGATGAAAGTCATGCATTTTGACACAAACGACTCATTATTTACTTTTCTGAAAATGGCAGCACAAACAGGTGAGGGACATGAGATTATATTTAATTATTATGAAGTAGTTAAAATACATTTGTGATTGGACAGCCAAATATTAGTTGATGATATCTAACTGTGTGTGTGTGTGTAGTTACACTTATTAAAAACAACTATAAATTATGTTAAATTTTGGTTTCTATGTCGCCAACCTAACAGACATCATACATCATGTGTAACATTAATTATTACAATCAGTTAAAAATGTTGAAAATTCAACACTAGAGCCACAGTTTACGGTGAACAATATGAAAATGTTGCCATTTTAGCAAAATATAGTTCTAGAACAGACAACATCCCACTGGGGTCAGATAAATATATATACAGTCTATGGTCAGAACACAAATGGGTTTCCCCAAAGTCCGCATATTCACTTGGATTGTTTTTGTGTAAATCATTACTTAAAGAGCGATGGATAACAACCAGGAAGTTCAATTATAAATCTAAAAAAACATTGGGATTACATTTGATTGTAATCTGAAGCAACATTTTAAATGTAATGGACTTTGCTATGTGTGATAGACACTCACTGTTGCATGTGTTACCGTCAACTGAGCATGGTTTGTAGTTGTTTGGAATAAAATTACGACAGTAGCCCTCTTTACGGCAGACGATGACATGTCAACAACAAACATGGCGTCGAGCAGCAGCGGCTACTGGGAAGGTACATACAATACATTTGTTTTGTCGTTTTAAGCCTGATATAGAGGTTGAAATATTACAACAAAAACGTGGATTCACATTCTCTACGCAATCCTCTACCTTTAATTGGATGAAAAGAATAATGACAAGTTGTTTGTTTATTTGTTAAACGAAGCGTTAACGCTTTAATTAAAACAATGTCACAAAACCTGTTCGTCAAGTGTTGGGTCATCACAGCATTGATTCTTTATTAACAAAAGGATTTATAAAAGAGACGCCGAACTTTTCTGAAATACATCAAAGATGTTCACTCTGTAGAGATCAGAGAAGCTAGAAGTAGATCTATTTATTTTTATTTTTTTACACATTAAACTTTTTTGGCAATTTTGTCTCTCAAACATTAGAAAACCTCATACTCTGTAGAATCAGTCAATTTTCTGAGAAAGTTTGATTTAATTCTTTAAACTAAAAGTTTATGAGACTGTATCTGAACTTGACACATTTGTAGTTATAGGTGTACTACTAGACATTTTATCACTCCAAACCATTCAGTCTGTATTACTATTGAAGGGCTGGTTAATTATGTGACTAATCGATGAATTCATTTGAACGATGTATTGTGGTACCATGAACAGTTTGTTTTTTGTCAGATCTACGTAAACAGGCGCGTCAGCTGGAAAACGAATTGGACCTGAAGTTGGTGTCTTTCTCCAAACTTTGTACAAGTTACAGCAGCGGGAGCTATGGCCTGGGCATCAGCGACAGAGCCAGAGACGGCAGGTCGGGCTTCGTTCTTCTAAATCTGTTTTATTTGTTAGTGCTCAATTGACGAAAGCATTGAAAATATTTATTGCAACGTGGTCTAAAGATGCAACATGATATTATTAAAAAACAAAAGGATACGCAGTTCTGTATGTTACATTGGAGATTATGAGAGATGGAATAAGTGCTTATTTACAGGAGAAAAACACAGTTTGAGCTAAAGATAAGAAGCTTTGTTTGAGCAAGTAAGTAAAGCTTTTTTATATTGTGCCTTTTACAGACCAGGATCGCAAAGCGCTTTACATTTAAAACGTACAGTAAAAAACTTATAAGAACACTTATAAGTAATAAAAAACGAATATGAAAAATAATCATAAACACACTTCAGATAGTGTAGTGAGGTGAGAAACCTGCCTAAACAAATATGTTTTAAGTTGGAACTTGGAGTTGTCCACTGACTCTTACATGCGCAGAGGCTGGGGAAGCTCATTCCAAAGGTGAGGAGCAACTGCCTGGAAGGATCTGTCTCCTTTGGTTTTAAAAAAAGTGCGAGGGACCATCAACAGGTTCTGAGTGGAGGACCTCAGGCTCCTGTTGGAGACATAGGGGTGGATCCAGGCCCTGGATGTATTCAGGCGCCTGACCATGAAGAGCCCTGAAGTCAAAACAGAATTTTAAAATGTATTTTCTGTGTGTTTGGTGACTGCAGACTGCTCAGGAAAGTTAATTACTCTCTCATAGTCACTCACTAATATAATAAAAGGAAAGTGTTTTTTTTTAACTTTGTGGCATATACTGCACACACTCAAGTTTCCTCAGGCGACCAACCATGTATTTTCATGAGATTATTGTCATGTCTTTTGTTGAATTAGGTCTGATTCCACTGGCTCTTCTCACGACAATCTCATGTTGGCCATGACCACAGAGATCGAGCAGCTTTTGGCAAAGGTAAGCATCTGAATCAGTTCTTGTTGATTTTAATATCTAATTTCAACTGTGCTCCATGTTTCTCTTGCAGCTAACAGGCATAAATAACAAAATGGCAGAGTTCACTGCTGAGACAGTTCCACACAACGCAGCACTGATGCACACTTTACAGCGACACAGAGACATCTGGCAGGTTTGTCTGGAAAGTTCTTTGCTTCATTATGAATGCAAATAGTTATTTTACTATCTTATTACTGTCTTTTAGGACTACACAAACGAGTTCCATAAAACCAAAGCCAACTTCTTCAGCCTCAGAGAGAGAGAGGACCTGCTGGGATCCGTCCACAGAGACATCGAGTAAGAATCACTTTTTTATTTTAGAAGTTGCGCTTCTTATTAATCCTCACAACAACTGGATTGTGTTCTTGGGCAAGACTAGAATAGTGATGCATTGGATACTTCCCCACTCTACTCTACACTGCAAACAAATCTCAAATATGACGTAGAAATTGCTTGAATCGAGTGGTTTTTGTTTTAAAACAACATTTGCCAATTTTAAAAAGCCATGTCATGTCGTTTTCATTCTCTTTACTAATCCATTTCTGGGGTGGCCACCCATTACTCATAGCACCAGTCCCTTGCTGATCCTCTTGCAGGTGGTGGGTCAACACTGTGTCAACTAAGCCTGGGTGTTTCAGTTCAGGCAAAGTACGGTGAAGTGTCTTGCCCAGAGACACAGCGACAGCAGACATCAGTGGGAGCAGGTGACATGAGTCGTGGGGGGGGGGGGATCGAACCCACAGCCATTAGGTTCAAAGACCAATGGTTTTCTTATTCCAAGGGAGACATTTCTTGGATATTGTTAAAACAACATAATTTTGCTTTGTCCCATTGGAAAATCGTGTTTATAAAACAGTCAAAATGTTCTCAAATTCAGATACATTTTGCAGAATTTGAAAATGTTTTTGTCTTATTTTTCATCCATTTTTGCTGTGCATGTGTGTGATTTGATTACACTTACCTACAATGCTCACTACTAAACTAAAGTAGATCATTAAAAGTCACACAAAGTTAGATTTATTCAACACATTTCTCCCATGTTATACGCAGTGTGACCAGCAGAGGGCTCTCTCGTCTCTTCTAGTTGGACCCTGTGATCATTATGGCCTCATGTTTCAGGCTGAGAGGGGCAGCTCTGTCTGTATCTCTGCCTCCTCCTCAGGGGAGATCTGCTAAGTGCCTTCTCCAGTAAATCAAACCACAAGGCTTTCATTCGGCCCAACTCTGGGTGTGAGCCATTACGTCACGTCCGACCCACTCTGGCCACGATTTATGTGTGAGAGGAGAAACCAAACACGGGAATCACTCATTGGACAAGTACAAGTCAAAGTTTAGATCAGTTTGTAAACACAAGACGAAAGGTCATTCTGAGTATTGGGAAATCTGTGATAAAAAGTAAAACACGTAGCAAGAAATTATGACATTTTTAAGCGCAGTTTTATAACATTTCAACAAATACAGTATAAAAACTTTCACTACCAGTTGGTTTTGTTCGCGTTTCATTGTGAACGGACATTGAGGAGTCACATAACACAATTACAGATGCCATTAACGAAGACTCTATTTTGATTCTACCATCAAGCCAAATGGACGGATACTAAATCTTGCTCTTAACAAGCTAAATGTCTTGTGCAGTTAGTTTAAGGTTGCTAAATAGCTTAAACCGTAGATGAGAGCATGTATTAATGTCGATGATGATGAACCTATCACAAGAATTCGGCATGTACAATGTAGCATTTCTTTTAAGTTTAGATAATTCATTCATTTGATTGCTTCCCATTTCAAAGTGTATTTCAGGGTTTCATAGTGCCAGTCCCTCACTGATCCTGGTTAAGTGTCTTGCCCAGGGACACAACAGGCCTCAGTGGGGAGTAGTTGACATGTCTCGCTAGGGGCTCAAAATCACTTTATCTGAAGACCAATGCTCCAACATGTTATTTCTATTAAATATAGCTAATTCATCCAATCATTCATTTGATTTCAGCCCATTTTTTAACACATTTATTGGGGTTCATAGCAAAAATCCCTCACTGATTCTTGTGGGTCCACGCTGCTCTACACAGCCTTGGAGGGGGGGGTTCAGGCAAAGTGGGGCTAAGTGACTTGTCCAGGGACACGACAGCAGACCTCAGTGGGAGATGGTGACATGTCCCGTATTGGACCACTTGATTCAAACACCAAAGCTACATATCATTATCAATCAATAAACAAACAATATAACACAATATTGCTAATCAGACGCCAACTCCAGATCTTGCTATAGTCTGTTGCTGCTCTGTAATCAGTGAAATGTTTTGTCTGGGTTTTGGGGCGCGTCTAAACTGGGCGGAGCTGGTGTAAATAAGAAATGGAGGAGGCTTAAGATGAGCTAATTACTTAAAAGCCTCAAACGCAGGAAGTCCTCGATCAGCAGCCATCAGCGGACAGGATCGAGACAGGATTGAGACCTGCTTTCGGCCGATTGAAGATGTTAATCATTCCGTATAGGGGCAACGGTCACTGAAAATATAACATTTTGAATATTTGAAAGGCGAATTTGTTTGACATTTGAATTACATTGAAGACAAAAATATTCAAATGGAAAAAATTCAACATCTGATGACAAAAAAAAACTTCCATAGCCTCCGGTCAAAATATGTTTTTATATTTACAACTGTATTCTGGGGCGACAGGGGCTCAGTTGGTAGGGCATTGGCCTTTGGGGCTGAAGGTCGTGGGTCGTGGATGACTGCTGTTGTTGTGTCCTTGGGCAAGACACTTAACTCCACTTTGCCTGAAGCCCCTGCTGAAAGATCTCAGCTCCTGTGGACTCACCACCTGCAGGAGGATCAGTGAGGGGCTGGTGCTCTGTGGGTGCAGCGCTGACTGCCATCCCCCCTGACCCAGATATGGATTAAGGGGAAGAAAATTGATGGATGGAACTGTATTTTATTACACCACTCCATGTTTGATGCAATACATACATATACTGTATACACACATACATACACATATACACACATACATATACATATCAGAATCATTTTTATTGCCACGTAAGTAACAACGGTCACCACTTGGAAATTGCTTTGGCAATATACATACATACACATAAACGTATACATACACACATACATATACACACATACATAATACACACGCACGCACACACACACATTTTTCATATGAAGATGGGAGACCAATAAATATCTCACTATATCAGCTGTAACATAAAATGATTAAAAGTCCAGATTGATAATGGATCTTACTCATATTTCAATGGACCCTTAGTGAGGTATAATATCTATAATATCAAAGTGACCCTGTGTGAGAAAATCTTAACTTTACCTTACTCTGAATGACTTTGGACTTCAGAGATGATCTGGTTTGATGTATTTCGTAACATCGTAGACGTGACAGGGAAGCGGCGTCATCTTTGAATCCAATCTTGTAATGGGGGATAGAGATCTAAAAGTGCAGGGCTCGGTTTCTGCCAAGATCAAGTTTGATATCTCACGCACTCTCTTTGTTTTAAAGAAGTTTCAGAGCGCTATCTTCTTTCCGTCTTGAAAGTCAATCTCATTTTCTTTATCTGTGTTTTGTCCTTTTGCTGCAGGTCGTACAAAAGCGGCTCTGGAGTCAACAACCGACGCTCCGAGCTTTTCATGAAGGAGCACGAACATCTAAGAAAGTGAGTTGTGTCTAAGTTTTCACAGCAGCCTTTTTACACAATACACATTTTTACATATATCAATATAACAGACAAATAAATGCTTACTCTATTGCTCAATGAAGCCTAATAGGGAAGTGCTCACAGACAAAGTTTTGCTACTTACATTGAAAAGTAACCGTCTAGCTCAGTCACCGTTCATGCCACACTCATTTTTTCATTGGCTTAAAAAAATCTGTGTTTTGAAGCTATCTACGACCAAGATATGTGCTATAAGGATTGACCAATCAGAATCCTTCATTTGTAGGGGATATTCCATCTTGCCTTAGCAACCACGTTAGCAACACAGTCTGTCAGCTCCTAATATAGATCTATGGAAAAGACCAGGACGCTTTTGATTGTGACGCCAATCAGCAAATCAGATTAATTAGACTTCTTGCATTTCTTTTAAGTGCAAAAGTCTTTCTAGAGCTGCAACTGTAGTCATGTCACTATCAGTATTTAGAGATCAGTATTTTTTTTAGCTTGAAAGACCACAAGAACTAGACAATTGTGAGGCTGGGGCGGGTGTTTACCTTCCATCAGGACAATTTCCCTGAACATAAAGACTTTTCATATAATATAGGATTAAAAACAAAATGTGTTCGAATGAGCCAAAGTCCAGACCCAAATCCTACCTATTCACAAACTCTCCCTTTTATAATCTGACTGAGCTTGAGTTGTTTTGTAAAGACGAATGGGCAAAGCGTTCAGTTCCTAGTTGGGCATCAACATTCAGCAAATACAGCAAACAAACTAACAAATTATATAAATATTTGCATTTGAATGTCATTGATGTTTTTTTTATTTGTCTCTTGCGTTTCAATGCAGATTGCAATTTTTGGTGAAATAAAAAAATATTGCAATAATATCGTTATCGAGATACTAAACACTCATATCGAATATTGCTCTAATTTCCAATATCGTGCAGCCCTAGTCCCTATATGTGCAGAGCTTGTAGAGTCGTACCACAAAAGACTTCTACGTTTGCAGCAAAAGGTCAATTGTATGTAATTTTGTTGTGGTCTTTCGGGCGGGAAAAATAAATAAAATGTAAGATAAAATCTTTGTTTTGTGAGAAAATGTGCAAAAAAGTGAAGGGGTATAGACACTTTTGCAACGTACTGCTGCTCAATGTATTTGAGCTTGAGCCGCCTTGCTTTTCCTTTGTTGTGATCGGTCAGATCTCTCTCTCGGAGCAGGACTAACGGTTGGAGGTTGATAGAATCTTGATACAACAAACTCTCTTGGGGAAAAACACCCTTTTAATTTATCACCAGTTCAATTTATTGCACTTATTTCGTTGACGTTGCTTTATAAAGGGCTTGGACAGAACTAAAATGACAAAAACCTGAGTGTAATTTTATCCCGTCTAAATAAAGTCAATGTACAATAAACATTAACCTCAAAGAGAAAGTGCAAAGTTCCACTAAAAACTCACTCATAAAACACCAAATATTCATGATAAATTACACTATATTGGCCATTTTCATAGTACTAATATCAGATTCAGGAACCGGGGCTGAGGCTGTAGATCCAGGACTGAGGTTGTAGGTCCAGGGCTGAGGCTGTAGAACCACAAGACCCTAGACAAGACCACATGTACACCAATCATTTATATCTGGAGAAAACCCTGGCGAAGGCCGTGGCGTCTGTTGAAAAGTCTCCTACAGCAGAAAGACTCCAGAGCAGCTCACGGTCTGTGCTGTCGTGATTTTAATGCTTTGTAATCCTGCACCTCGGTCTCTCTGCCGTCTGAGCGAGGTGTAAATGCTTCTACAGTTCATTTACTGATACATAATGATGCACTACAGTCTGGTCCTGCAGCTCAACAGACAATAATAACTTTGATGCATCACCTTTTATGGTCAGCGAGTCTGTGTCCCCAAAGGAAAATGATATTTCTTTGCCTTAAATGTTCCACAGTTTGGGAATATCGTCAAGTCTTTTTGGTCATAACAGTGTTTGTTATTGCTTTTGCAGAGAGTGATAGGAAATGCATTTGTGGTGTGAATGTGTCCCTCGAGGAAAAAGAGAGAAAATGACATTACTGCTGAGAGTTTTCTATTGAAACGGCCAGATCTTTATTTACAGCGACTAAGTATGTAATATAATATAAGTATAGTAATAGTGTTAAAATAAATAAAATTTTATTGTGACTCCAACAGTCATTATGAAAGAGGTTAGTTGTGCCAATATAAGAACCTCCACACTTTTATTATTATTATTATTATTATTATTATTAATATTATTATTAATATAGTAGCTCAGTTGGTAGAGCATTGGCCTTTGGGCCTGAAGGTCATGGGTTCGAGCCCACCTCAAGACCTACTTCACGACTCCTACTGATGTCTGCTGTCGTTATGTCCTTGAGCAAGACACTTAACCCCACTTTGCCCGAAGCCCCCGCTGAAAGATGAAGGCTCCTGTGGACTCACCACCTGCAGGAGGATCAGTGACGGGCTGGTGCTCTGTGACTGGGTGCAGCTCTGACTGCCCCCCCCCCCCCCCCCCCCCCCCGACCCAGAAATGGATTATTGGGAACAAAATTGATTTGTTTGTTTGTCCATGTCATCAGTTAGCCATACCAGAATGTGAAAGCCAGATTCCGACAAACCTCTGAAGCTGTGCAGGGCAGGGCCTGGTTAGTACTGTGATGGGAGACCAATGAGAACACCAGAGGCCACAGGCAAGACATTTCAGCCACATGGTGGTGGTGGTCAGAGGGGCCGATGGCACAGACTTGTTGCCTCCCTTCTGTCAGTGTGCCCCAGTGCAGCTGTGGCTACAGAAGTAGTTTATCCCCACTGTGTATGGAGTGACTATATCATTGTTACTATTATAGTAAAAATGGCACTTTTTATAATTTCATAGACTTGTAATGCATTTAAAACGCTCTTGTCTCTGAGTTCAAGCAAAGTTGTCCATTGTTTCGTGACGGCTTCATCGTGTTTCCAAACCGTGCAGTGAAGGAGCAGCTCTGGGGTGGAGCAGTGATGATGAGGAGGGAGCTCAGACAGAGGAAGTATAAAGCTCTGTATTGATTTTTGGTCTCCAATGGAGTCTGCTCAGCCCTGAACACTCCGGCCTCACAGCGTCACTTAGTGCAGAGCTAATGGCAGCTCCGTGCACGACTCAAACCAAGCTACACTTTGGAACCATGTGTAGAAACCATGGGTCACAGCTGCAGAGATCGGCCGTGAGTGTTGGTAGTAGGACTGCAACAACGAATCAATTAAATCAATACAATCGATTATTAAAAGTGTTGGCAACAAATTTCATTATCAATTCATTGTGTCGCGCGGTTAATACGTCACCCACTACATCGCGGAGCTCACGTGAGGCGCTTTCTTGTCCAGCTGTGTTCAGACGATGCACGTGCGTAGATGGAGGACGCACTTTCACTAAATATCAGCTGCGTGAGTTTAGGCTGAACTGCTGCTGTACTTCCTGCGTTGGGGAAAACCGCAGGACGGTAATGGTGAGCGGGCTTTTATGCTAACGCTGGTGGTGCTTCTGCGCCGCGTCCCCCATTGCTCTCTGATTGGTTGCTGCACGTGGAGCGAGTATGTTCATCATTTATAATAGGAACTTTCTATAGGATCGTTTCTATAGACCACTTACTGTACATTCATACTGGATAATTACTGTACTTTTGGTGACTGGCTTTTAATCATTATAGGTCACACTAGAGAAAGAATTATGTTAAAACTGTCAGACACACACACAGTATTTGTATAGTTCATTCATATGACCTTTTTATTGGAGAAAGAGGCACTTTTATGTTCATTTGTACGAGTGGAGTAGAGGATAACTTATAGTAAAATATGTTGAAATTTTAGGAAATATAGATGTTCCAAGATTTTCTCCTTCATTACAGCCTCACATCCACAGAATATAACAATTAGTTTCACACCATCTCAACTCAGGCTGCTTGCGCAAGTCTTGAAAGTCTTAATAAGTATGGAATTTTGAAACACTGTATTCCAGACCTTGAAAAGTCTTGACATTTGTGTGAAAGTCTTAATAAAGTATGGGAAAAAATGTATGGTAGAATTTTACAGAATGCTCAAAGGCATTGTGAATAATGCATTTGTTCATTGAATACTAGCCTGGCCTTAACCATCCGTACACTCCGCTCAATCATAATTTCACTGCATGTAACGTCTGGGTCTGGTCTCTGTGTTTGCGATTATAATCGGTTGAATTCCATCCGACCAATCAGCGAGCGCGGGAGGCGGGTGTTGATGTTAGTTGTGAGTGACGTTAAGAGTTTGCGCCGAACGGGAAGGTTGTAGTTTGGCAATGGCGAAGAATGCGATAGTAAAGTATTCCGGTCTGGTTCTATCAAGAAATTGAATTGAATTTAGCAAATGTAATTGCTGGCAAAAATTGTGGCGCTACTCCCCACGGGCTCCATTAGCGGCAAAGGAGATGGCTAGGCTAAATGCTAGATGCTAACAACTCACTCGGGCGCATTACGTACATCACGGTAAACTCCGATTGTTTAAATCTACAAAAGGAGTTAACCCCTCCCACCTGTAAACAGAGCTTAATGGAGCACCTCCAGACCTTAGTACGAAATGTAATGTGGTGTACATAGTTGGTATTAATACATTTGTATTAGACAAAGCTAATTGAATACTAGCCTATAAAAATTAACATTTCTAATAAACACAGATGGTAGAATCTCAACCAATGGAGTAGGCAGTAGGCACACAAGTATACTAGTACATAAAGTTAATGTCTTGAGAGAAAACAAAAATCAGTTTTAAAAAAGTCTGGAATTTTAATATGGAAAAAGAGCAAGTACCCTGTCAACTTGACCTTTACCAGGATTTTAAGATCAGACGCAAGTAAATAATTGTATTCACATAGACACAGACAGAGACACAGTAGGCCACCTGAAGCACTGTGGAGCTACCACAGATTGGGAACCACTGTTTGAAATACTAACTTGCTCTGCGCTGTGGTATTCAGTGAGAGCAGCTTTTACAGAGAAGTAGATGCTGAGTATGTGGAGATAGTGGATGCATTTTTAGACCTGGCTCTGAACCGCCTCCTACATTACTTGACTCATGCGGATCTGCACAACATCCTCCTCTCTGCGACGCACAACACCTCACTCTTTACATTTTAACTTAAATACTCACCTCAGCTTTTGTTCAATGTCATAAAAAATCGAATGCGGCAGAACCAATCCCAGTGGCTCGATAGGTCACATGTTTTATAATGGTGTGGTACAATCTTTTACCAGTAGAAATATTTTTGTTAAAATGTCATCAATAGAAATGTACACACACACTAATACAGTCTCTCCAGAGGCAACGCAAGGTTATTTGTATAGAACAATGCATACACAAGGCAACTCTAAGTGCTTTGTAAAAAACATTATTGTCACACAATTTATTTAAACATTTAAACATAGGCTCCAGATTTTAGTTGCATGAATCTTGAAATGCTGATTGGTTCTGACTCTGGGCACCAGCAGGAGGCCGGTCCAGAGTGACACTGTACATCAGGAAAGAAAGTATATAAAATGGAAAAGAATACTGACACCATCTGAAATCTGTGTGTTTACTGGTATAGATTATATTCAGTTCAAATCCTTAAAGCATAAAGCATTGGACCAACCACAGACAGACTTGACTGTAGCTAAAACTGACATCTTTATTGCGTTCTCAGTAAATGTGCGTTTGTCAGACTAAACGTAACGTAAAGACGTTTGTGGGAGAGGATTTTGTTCTTTTTGAATCTAATTTCCTCCGTCCGTGTTCGCAGCTCTGATCGTCTCATTGACAATGCAATAAGGTGAGTTTAATGTTTGCTAATGCTGCCTTTTCTGCCTCTCTCTCTCTAACTCCTTCTCTCGCTGTAACACAATTCCTTCCTACAGCTTTGGAATGTATTTATGGTCCGGCTCGGCTTGGTTATGTCACTCTTTAAAAAGCCAAAACATATCAAATGTAGCAGTACAAGTTGGTAGTAAATGTGCTTTTTTTCCCTTTTTGCCTTTTTATATACATTTATTTAATTTTTATTTTTTTCAAATGATTAGTAACGTCTTGATTTTGTCTCAGCATCGCCATGGCAACCAAAGAGAACATGACGTTTCAGCGCGGGGTGCTCAAGTCCATTCAGACCAGAGTCACCACTTTGGCCAGTATCCTTTATCTCTCTCTCTCTGTACGGTGGGACATGTAAATACACACACAAAAGGATTAGTTACAAAAAATATTAGAAGTATTCTATTATTTATTTATGTTTACATTTTTTTTGGCATATTTTTGTCTTTTGATGAATAAGTTGTATTTAACACAGGATATATTATGGTCTAGAAGGTTTGGATTCGACCACAGCTGGACCAAACATCAATTTGAGATGATTAGTGAGACTGAAAGTTAATTATACATTTAAAAAATCAAATCGTAATTAAATAACTAAAACAATTACATTTCAGTTAACGTTTTAGAACAGATTAATTACATGGTTGTTTTCCTGAGAGCATAGGCGTTATAATGAAGTATAACATGCCATTGTAGCCCATCATCATCAATGCTGCAAGTTACTGTTGAATAAATAAATATTTTTCTTCTTTCCTTCCTTTCTTCCTTTCTTCTTTCCTTCCTTTCTTCCTTTCTTCTTTCCTTCCTTTCTTTCCTTTCTTACTTTCTTCCTTTCATCCTTCCTTCCTTCCTTCTGAGCAATACTTTAATTGAAAGTAATCTCAGGGGCCACCAAAAATGGTCTCTCCGGCTGCATTTGGCCGGTTAGGGTGCATTTAGCCGGTGCTTTTCCCAACGGTGACCCACGAGAGGGAAGGAAAACCGTCAGACTGAATGATGTCAATAAAGTGGAAGTTCCTTGACTCCTTTGTCCTCAGACCGGTTCCCTTCCATCAACGGCCTCATCCAGAGAATAAACTTACGGAAAAGGAGGGACTCTCTCATTCTGGGCTCGGTGATCGGAGTCTGCACCATTCTCCTGTTGCTTTACACATTTCACTAAGGTTTTTTTACTTCTTTTTTTTTTTTTTTTAAATCAGCCATCACACACAATGCAAAAAGTGATGACAAATTAGGTTAAAAATTGCGCAAATCCAGAAACGTGTATCTTATTATGAGCACATTTTGATTTCATTAAAACAAGATTTGCCAATGGGACAAAAAACATGTGAAATATCTCCCTTGGAATGAGACAAAAAAAGCTATAGTTCTTGAAATAAAATTAAATTGCTTTGTCCCATTTACAAATCTTGTTTTAAGCCAGTCCACAGCAAAACAGTGTACTCAAATTAATATTAAAAAACACACTTGATTTCAGCATTTATTACCACATTTTTATCACTTTTTGCTTTTTACTCTTACATGTTTTACTTCATATTCAACCATGCCTTCTGCTTGCATTACAATCACTTGGGGGAAGTCTTAACTGAGATTTAAATGTTTTATTTATTTTTCCAGACAAGTAAATCTTACAAATTGCTGTTTGTATACAGTGCCTACACATGACTGTTGTTGTTTTTGTTTTGTTTGTGGCAGTGTCTTTAATAAAACGCGTTAACTGGGTCATGCTCATTCAGGACTTTATTTCAAACATGCAAAACCTATGGCACAATCGCACAGTATAAATGTATAAACACCAGATGGAGCGCCAAGACCAGAGCGTATACAATAAACAGCCCCATTCATTTTTAGAAAGCAGAATATTCAGACACAGACTCAGACCAGTCGACCTCCACAGATTTTATAGATTACAAACTAAAAAAAAACCCAGGCTGCTCTTCTGTCATGGTTCAGGCTCCACATGTCGTTGCTTTGACTTTCCACAGCATTAGCATTAGCATTAGCAGTTAAATGTGAAAAGTTCATTTTGTCTTATGTTTAAGGCTTAGAAGGTTCTTTTTGATAAGACACAAAAGTAAAGAATGCTAGTACTGCTTAATTACCTGTTAATTAAGCAGGACTAGCATTCTTTACTTTTTTGTCTTATTAAAAGAACCTGCATTAGCATTAACATTAGCATTAGCATTAGCGCCATAGACACTTTTGCTGCCTCTTGTCCAGGACTTGGAAAACTCCATGGATCTCATTGGGACTTTCCTGGTTAAAGGTACAAAAGGGGATTTTCTACTTCCGGGTGGATCAATAAGACAATTGGTCCTCCTAAAGTGTCAATCATTCTGGTGATATGTGCCCGTCAGGTAAGACCAGAGAGTTATGTTCAAAAAGTGGAGAGGACGGTTCTTTCCTAGAATTTTGGAAAATCCTCTTTTATATAATTTTTAAATAAAGGTAGAATAAAAATTTGAAAAACAAGCAGATGAGTAGATTGACTGTTTCAAAGCAATTTGAGGAACAATTTTGGAATGCATAACAATAAAAATGGCTTGAATGATTTTTATGATAGTGCTGAAGGTTCCCATAAAATATATTATTCAGCAAAAGATTGTAATTAGTCTTTTTGAGCGTTTAAATGAAGAAAAATGTGTTTGTTGCTGACTTATTGTAAATGTGGAGGAAAATATAAGTGTTTGTTTTGCAAGAAATTGGGTAAAACTAAAGTAAACTTATAATATTAAGACGTTGATGCGGGTAAGAATCAATAATTCATCTTCATCTCACGACATTTCAAAGCAGCTGCGATTTTCTTTGTTTCACTATCAGTGTTTTTTCACCTGGTGGAAATACAATTATAATAAATACTACAAAAAGAAATACTGTCCTCAAGTTTTATCATAATTTCTTGTGATAATCGCAATTTTCTTTTTGCCGCTTTGACAGTTTTGAGCAATAAAAGGGAAAGGGAATATACTGTGATTATACTTTTCAAGCGGAGCAGTGACATGTGACCTCCAGCTGTGCACCTTTTTTTTTTTTTTTTTTTTTTTAAGTCAAACATTGGGTTGACGTCGTGTTCATTTCTAGAAAATGAATAAATAAAGAGTCATGGTGGAGGCTCACGTTTGCCTTCAGTTATGAACAAGTTTCTCTGGACACACAAACACATGCAAGTCTTTGGAGGGAGTCTCTGTGCATTCAATGACAAATACTGGATTTTACTTCAATTTCATTTTTTTTGGTGATGGCTTCAGATCCACCGCAGTTTAACCCAAACTCGGCAAGGTTTTTTTTCTTGCATTGCATTCATACATATATATATATATTTTTAAATCTCCATTCAAGCACAGAATCAATTGCCCTTCCACATTGCAGGCTTGCGGAACAACAACAGACTGGACCCACGGCTGGAACTCAAAGTCTTTGGTGAATTTTCTTTTGTGCTTCTTCCAAAAAAAAACAACAACATGAATCTTGCGCTTGAGTCTTCGGTGCAAATGAGTTTCTGGTCTTTACTTGGATAAATGTTGATACTCTAAAGGGAAAGGGGTGGAGAAAAACAGCTTTAATGTGATATTGAACCACAGTGTAATGCATTCTGCCCATTGCTCTAAGTACCTAAGCCGATCGCGGTGAAGATGATGACTGCCACACCCATAACGATGGCCAGGCAGCTCATCAGCCTCGATAGACGGCCGTACTTCCGCGCTCCCGTCACGTCCCCGGTGTGAAGCACAGACTTGGACTGAACACACACAGGACATAACACAACTTTGATCTCCAAACAGAGGAAGAAATGGTCAGAATGCCTACATGTAAATAAACAAGCTAGATGCAGGAAGGGCCTAAGGACAGTCATGATTTAAGAGATTTATGGATGAAGAAGAAACAAGTATAAAATCTCTATCTTTTATATTGGTTCATTATGGACTGATGTGTTTGTTATTCCTGCATTTTTCATTCTCTGATCTGTTGTTGGTGCATCAACAACTTTGTAAAGTCCACAGAGACGACTGCTGTTGAGATGTAGGGCTGTACAAAAATATCTCTGGATTGAATGCAAATGTATTTCTCCACATAACGATTCAAAATGGGTGAAAGTAATGTTTGGAAACTGCTGTGAAAGCGGATCTCGATGAATCCATTGGATGTCCAAACCACGGCCCGAGAGCCAAAAGCGGGCCCTAGGCAATGTTTTTCTGGCCCTGTGCTTCTGGTTGAAATGGTTCACGAGTATCTCTTTTTAAAACCGTAAAAATCTATATTATTACGGCATCAATAATTAATTTACATTTACAACTTTGTGTAGGACAGTTGTGATAATAATCTGGATTAAGGTGTGGTTACCTTTAAACCTTGGATCGATGCTGCTGTTTACATATGGGCCAGTGCTGATGTTCTGTGATATTGTGTTTGTACATGTTGTGAAAAACCTTGAAACTGATTTATTTTAAAAATCACACAGATTGTTTTTTTTTCAAAGATTCAAGCTTTTACCAATTTGTGGCCGGTAGCTTTGGACCACTACTAAAATCTACTTCTTAAAGCATCCTCAATTGGTGAAAATAAAGAAGTTTGAGCCTCTACTGCATTAAGGTGATATGGGTTAACGTTGTAGTGTTGTTATTGCTTTTTATGACTGCATTTATCAAAAACTAATACTCTCTTTTGACTCACCACGTTGGCGTACCACAGCGCACAGATGTTGAAAGGCAGCCCGGGACAGAAGCAGGACAGCACGGCCAGCCACAAGTAGCTGGGAGGCTGAGTACCGGGCACCGGGGAGAGCTGGGGACCGAGGCTAAGGCGGGACGTGGACTTGGGTGGGGGCGCAAGCTGTCCCACCGAGCCGGACTTCAGCGGTGACCTGTACCCGTTCTGGTCCGCATCCAGAGAGCGCACACTGCCTCGGATGTTGAGGGAGAAGGAGTCGGACTCCTTGAGGTTGCTCTCCCCCGTGGGCTCCGTGGTCTGGGCGCTCAGTAACTTCTCAGTGTCCTGGAAGTCGCTGGGGTTGGACGCATCCCTCTCCCCCAGTGCGCTCTTCTCAAAAGTGGCGTCAGTGTTTATGGCCATAACTGTACTGGTTCTTCTGCGTATCAACAAAAATACTTTGGTTTTTAGTTTCTTTCCATCAGGATCACCAGCTCAGAAAGACCAAATCAGCCCAAGAAACGTCAAATATACACCTGGTGCACACTGGGGAAGTCTTGCACAGTTTTTCCAATGTGGTTTTACTGCAAATGGTAAATGAATTCCTCTATCTTGAATCTTGGATATTCAACTCCATCTAAAAATCCTTATCACTGGAATGTTCAATGGTGTTCGATCAGGTCTCGTCTTCAGGTCATCCGGACGCGCGCCTCACTTTTGCCTCCTGCAACAACAAGGAATCATCCCAGTCCTCTCATCCCCACATCACCTTGTCTGGAGTCCACTCAGGCACCACGCAGCTCGTGTGACGGTGCAAAAATCTCTACACGATTAAAGCTCTTTTGGGTTGAGTGTGCGGTGCGTAAAAGCTTTCCGTTTACGCGCGGCGGCATCAGCTGGAGCAACATCTACTGAAGAGCGAGAGAGCGAGAGAGAGATAGAAAGGGAGAGAGAGTGAGAGTGCAGATAGAACAGGCTGTTAAACTTGTACCAGAGTCTGAGCCATGGGTCTGAGCGCTCGTTGCAAACTGCCTATAATTGACCTGCTCTTATGATATCTTTAACTCTGCAGATTCAAATAAAGTGATTGATCAAGCAATGGGAAAGGGAATGTATATGTGTTTGTTATAATACATTATTTCCTGCGTGTCTTGATCTACTCTCAGTTTTTTTTCTGCCAGTTTGCAGTTAAAAACCACATGAGATACAGCTGACTGTTCGGTTATGCTGCCCTCTCGCGGCGACTGTAGGTACTGCTGAAATCCTGAACTGCTCAGGTGAGGAAATATAAAAAAAGGTTAAAGAAGAATTAGCAAAGTATATAGTTTGGTGTATTTGACCTTGTAGTGTGAGCTTGTTGCCTTTTGATCTTGGTTGTGTTAATAGTGATCCAGGATTTATTGTAGATTTTGGTGTGAAGATTCATAGAGACCACAGTGATGGAATGTAAAGGCATCATGATGACCACGTATACAGCAAAAATAATGTATTGATTTTTTTTTTCACATAGAAAAGTTGCACAAAGAATAAGTGTGTTTGAAAGTGTTTGAAAAAATAGATAACAAATAATATAATAATAATAATAATGTTTTTTTTTTTTTTTTTTTTTTACAAAGCTAGTCATTTCAGCCAAAGAATAAATACAATTTTATGTGTAATAATTCACAATATTCTAAATTTTGAGACTGTGTTGACTGAACATTTTTTGACCCTGCAGTTATTTATGTTGTACAATGGACAATGGACCAGCGACAAGTGGGTATGAGCACAGAGAGAGACACGGTACCTATACACAGAGAGACACAGAAAGACAAAGGTACATATAGACAGAGAGACACAGAGAGACAAAGAGAGAGCGACAGAGATACACATTATACTCAGAGAGATATAGAGACACAGAGAGACACACACAGAGAGACATAGAGACAGAGACACATATAAATATACACAGAGAGACACACAGAGAGAGACAGACACACATGTAAATATACACAGAGACACAGCGAGAGAAACAAAGAGACACAGACAGAGACAAAGAGAGACACAGACATACAGTATAGACAGAAACAGGTGAAACACATGAGGGTGGGGCAGACGATCAACAAGGGAACAGGACCAGAAGTAAAACTAAACTAAAACCACAGGGTCAAACCAAGTCAAAATAAAACAAAATCCACACCGTGACTCTGATGTGCACAAAATAAGATAAACAAATGAGCGGCACGGTGGCTGAGTGGATAGCACTGTTGCCTCTCAGCAAGAAGGTCCTGGGTTCGAATCCCGGTTAGACCAGGGCCTTTCTGAGTGGAGTTTGCATGTTCTCCCCGTGTCTGCGTAGATTTCCTCCGGTTTCCCCTACCACTAAAAATATGTACAATAGGTCTGGCATGTGACTCCTGTACTGGCACCCCCACTCCCAAAAATAACAATTGTAAACCGCTTTGAGACTCCGATGTGCAGTGAAAAGGCGGTATATAAATAAAGATTACATGAGCAAATGATTAGACCTCAGTCCTGTGAATTCTTACCTGTGGTGGTTAACACTCGTGGCTCACAGCAGGAGGGTTCGGTCCCGGATCTGGACTGGGCCTTAGTTTCACATGTTTCTTGTGTCCAGGTGGGTTTCCTTTGGTTTCCTGTCTGAACCTTTAAATCTGATGAATCTGATGTGAGTGAAACTTGCATCTCTTCATGTTTAGTTCAAAATATACTTCATCAGAAGATATTTAAAAAATGCTTGGATTGGTCCGAAGTTTGCTGCAGATTCTCGTCTCAAACCACATACTCAATTTTCATTCAAGTACTGATCTATTTTGGATGAGGTGACATCACATACAAGGGGCGGCATGGTGGCTGAGTGGATCCTGGGTTCGAATCCTGGTCTTTCTGAGTGGACTTTGCATGTTATCCCCGTGCCAGTGTAGGTTTCCTCCGGGTACTCCGGTTTCCCCTACCACTAAAAACATCCTCACTAGGTTAAATCCTCCAGCTTTGGCAGTTCTGATCAAGCCGAGCATCAACATTTTGAGAGGGGTTCCCGGGCGCTGTTACTACGGCGACCACTGCTCCTGACGTAAGCCTTCGCGGCATCAGGATGGGTCAAATGCAGAGGATTGAATTGCTCTACGGGGATTAATAAAGTGCACCTTTACCTTTATACAGGTAAAGCCTGGTTAGTACTGAGATGGGAGACTTCACTGCGGCTGTAAAGTGACAAACATTGCTGTTTGTGTGTGTGTGGTAGGAGGAGCACTTTTTGGACACTCTAAGATGCTTCACATGTCATTATTCTTTCCCTCCAAATACGATGGTGATAAACTACTACTATAGCCACAACTGCCATGAGGCACACTGACAGAAGGAAGGCAACCAGTCTGTGCCATCAGCCCCTCTGACTGCCGCCAACCATTCACACACACACCAGACGCATTCTTGGCAATGTGGGTGAAGTGTGAGTTTCCATAAAAAGCATGATAAAAAACCAATTCATTATGTAAAGAACAGATGTCTTTATGAATGACATGTTATTGCTCATGTGTTTGAAGCAAAGACCGAGCGGCCGTTGATGAAGCTTTTCTCCTCTAAACATGTTCAATGTGTTAAAATACTGAAAAACTTGACAAAAAGTCAACATACATGTTTTTATTCAGCAAAGACATCAAGAAACAACCGGAACACACATCTAGAAACAGGTTTTTAGTTCAACTTTATTCTGTCTCCTCTTTTCTAAATGGACTGTTTATTTACCTGCTTTACACACGACAAGACAACACGAGTAGTAGTAGTAGTAGTAGTAGTAGTAGTAGTAGTAAAAGTGGACGACCCAATGATGGCCACTATTTCTGGGTTCTTTTCCCACCTCTAGTTCTCCCTGTGTCTGTCTAGGTTTCCTCCGTGTCCTCCGGTTTCCCCTACCACTAAAAACAAGTGAGTGATCAATTAGTGATGTTTTGGAGGCTTGGATGCAGACCAGAGCAGCCCAGAGCAGACCAGTGCAGACCAGTGCAGACCAGTGCAGACCAGTGCAGACCAGAGCAGACCAAAGCAGTTCTTCAGCTGGCAGCTTTAGCATGTGTATGACAACATAAAGCTCGCCAGTGAAGAACCGCTGTGTGTCCGCCATTTTGGATCCGCAGCCGTTCAGTCGCACATCTTTGGGTGCAGTCTTTTCTGTCAGAGAAAAAAAAACAACAAAACATTTTAATTTCCTGTGTGCCCCAAAGCTGCCCTCACATCCAACTCAGGAAATAAGAAGTACTTTTCACCTCCCAATCTTATTCATACCTAATAAATCCACTATTTCATATAAATTCAATTCAAATATCCCTCTATAGCAATGAGAAGCTGCACGTCTATAAATTTATCATTAAGTCTTGTGCTTCAATCATATTTAGTACGTTTGAAATCCCGATATACAATCTGAAAACAATGTTATACGAGGCCAGACATGTATATATTTTCAGTCCTGCCACACGGATCTGCACTTTGCCCCTTTGAGCGACATAAGAACAAACATCAAAGGCTCCGCTAAGACAGTAAATCAAGTTAGCAACCAGTGCATAGACCAGGGGTGTCAAACCAAACCAAACTCCACACATTTCCCCAAAGTCTCCAGGTTAAGACTGGACTTGCAGGAAATGTGTCTGGAGTCTGGTGTGCTCCTGCTTGGTTGGAATGAAAACCTGCAGCCAACACCGGCCCTTTGAGGACTGGTTTGACACCCCTGGTATAGAGGGGTTTGTAGGCGGGGCTTAAGCAGAGGCAGAAAACAAGGATTCATTTTGAGTTCTATGAGAGTTTAATATGATAATTTAATATTTTTTACCAGGCTAAAATGTAAATGACTTTAAAACGCTAAATTATATAAAAACTAATTACAAAGTCTTGGCATATCTCACTTGGCATGTAATGTGTCTATATCATATCCTGTTTTCACATTGTAAGACATTTTGAACAATATTCTAAGTATTTTGTGACAGTCTTGAACAAAATCTGGTTCACCATTTTGTTCGGAAGTATTTATATTTATTTTTTCCCTTGCTGTACTGTAAATGGGTTACAGTGCATTGAGCCACATGACCAAAAGGCACATGTGCGAAACAGAGGAAGGAAAAAAAATAAAGACCAGCTCAGGATTACTTTTAAATATCTGCTAAATACACTATTCATAGCATTTGGCCATGTGTTAGTTTAGTTTAGTTAATTTACTCACACCTTCACAGGTTTTTAGCGCAGCCCTGGATGGTTTGAAGACAGAAACACAAAAACTAGTTTACTTTTACATAGTTTTAGATCAATATTGATGGTTGTAATGGACTATATTTTGTGCCACTGGTGTCACGGATTATCCCTAGAATCAGGAATAATCAACTCGTGGCACGGGCGCCAAACTGGGCCCTCCGGACAATCTAATTCGGCCGCCA